TCTATCTTCAATGGTTGGGTGTTAATATATGTTTTTCTAAATTAGATAAATTCAGAAGTAAAGATGTTAACACATGATGAAGAATTATATGGAAATCACCAGAAATATTAAAGTGACAGAAATGGAATGAGTTGCTACTAGGAGTGAAATTGGAGGTGGCTTAACATGGACCATGATATTTGATTAGATACCATCTGTTTGTATTATTTTGTTTCAGATATTATTTCTAAAATTAAAAAGCAGAAAAAAAATTAACATCGAAGTATATTTACATAATTTTACTTTTCTTAAATTTTCTTTTCTCAAAATTTCCCAAGCCTTCCTTCCAACCAATGTGAATATGCAGTGCAAATCTGTTGTATGATTATTAGTCAGAAATATTGTCAACGAACTTCAAGGCATCATTCAAATTCTCTTTTATGCTAACTAAAGTCAATACTGTAGACTTATTTGAAGTGATTATAATAATTTTCAAAGAGAAGGAGAAACTGATCTGCCTCAATTATTTCTCTAGACAGTTGCATTTTATTTAAGTATTTGCTAACACTTTCTTCTGGGTAATAATCCTTTTGGCAAGCACACTAATTCAAGCAGTTTTGAAATACACTGTTTTTAGTTATTTGGTGATATTTTCATAGGATTAAGAATCAACTGATTTGCACTATGCTTTTATGTGGCAAACATAGAAAGAAAACATGTTTTATTGGTCCTAACTCATAATTGATTATAAGATGCACTAAGCAAAAAATAAAAACACTAAAAGAGAAAAAAAGGCCCAAAGTAAATTATAACCTGCACACCACTCTTTAATAGAATATAGAAGTTAAAATATAACTTAGAATATATTGTTACAAAATACTGTATGTAGAAAAATGGTTGTTTTTTGCAGACATAAAGCATGCTTCCCCATAGAGATACAGTACTGTATAATTTCTAGCTATATGCATAATTCTAAATTTTTGTAGTAGTCATTATTTAAAAAGTAGGAAAAAATGAGTGAAATTAATTATAACAATATATTTCATGTAGCCCCATATATTCAAAATATTATTTCAACATGCATTCTATGTAAAATTATATTAATGCTATATATTTTAATGTTGCACTAAGTTTTTGAAATATATTCTGTAGTTTATATTACAGTGCATTCTGATTAAGAATAGCCATATTTTAAGTGTGTCATAACCACATGTGGTCAGTAGCTAACCTATTGGACAGCACAGATATAGATCAGTTCTGTCTTCACAGAATATTCTATTGAACAGTGCTGACCTGGAGGGGAAGTGAAAGTAAAATAGACATTAATAACAAAGTATGATAAATGGTGTACAGAGCAGAGACAACAAATTCAGTCTTGGACATTAGGAAATATTCCTGGAAATGACATCCCTTTTTCTCTATACATAATATATCTGCAGGAAACCTCTGATTAATTTTGAAATTTTGGTATTTGTGTTCATTGGAGTAAAAGTTCTTACTTCCAATTATTATTAGCAAAGATAATTTTTGTTTATGAATCCAATTAATTTCCTAATATAAATTAGTCAAATTTAGCATTAAGGCACTAGAAAAGCAAATCGTATATGAGCAAAGTGTTTCAATATTTCAAAGATGGTTTCATTCAAAATGTGCAGAGAAAGCCAGCTCTGGTATGATTAAGTTTGTTGATACTATCTGGCCAGGTGCATTGGCTCACACCTGTAATTCCAGCACTTTGGGAGGCCAAGGTGGGAGGATGACTTGGGCCCAGGAGTTCAAGACCAGCCTGGGCAACATAGTGAGACTTCATCTCTACAAATTCAATTAATTAATTAAAAAAGATTGTCCATATTATCAATCTGAAATATGAGAAAATTATATAATATTTATGACATTTATCACAAGAGAGTTTTCACAGTGCAGTATTTCCCCCTTATTTGTGGTTTTACTTCTCCTGGTTTTAGTTACCCACAACCAAGCACAGTCTAAAAATAGGTGAGTAAACTATAATAAGACATTTTGAGAGAGAAAGAGATCACATTAATTATAACTTTTTCTTACAATATATTGCTATAATTATTTTATTAATTATTGTTGTTAACCTCTTACTGTGCCTAATTTATAAATTAAACATTTTATTGTAGATATTTATGTATGTGAAAAACATACACAGGGTTCCATGCATATAGGAAAAAACACACAAATAGAGTCTAGTGCTATCCAGTTTCAGGCAACCGCTGGAGATCTTGAAGCATATAATCTACAGATAAAGGGGACTATTGTTAGGTTTGTGAACATAGACAGTATATTCAGTTAAGGGAGGTCATGTTTAACCAGGCTTCTGAAATTATTTGAAAACATTACCTCTACAATAGATAGCAGAAATTCAATGATGTAGCACTCTTGTATTTTTCTTCAGGCAAAAAGTCACATTACACGTGTGTGTGTGAGAATGTGTGTGCGTGTGTGTGTGTGTGTGTAAGCTAACAAATAAATTATAGAAACCAGTCTCTAAAGCAAAAATAAGATGGAGACTTGGCAATGATCTGACTGTGGTGATTATTATAGCTCACCAAACTTACAATGCAGGAAAAAACAGTTTCTATAGTGTCTTTTAAAAGTGTGTTTGCCCAAATTACTTTGATGATTGCCAAATATAATGATTTTTCCTACTGTATATTAAAGCACAGTACTTAAATAGCAAGTGGCATGTCTCCTTTACTTTCCCTAAGAAAATGACCATTATTGCATATAACAATGCATAAAATTTTACTGGATTTTTAATCTTAATATTCAAATTATATCTGAGTCTTTGAGTTTCAAAAATAGGATAGATAATTCTACTTTCAAAATCTTTACTTGCAATATATTGAGATGACAGGAACAGAACTGCTAAATACCTGGCAAGTCTTACTTTTCTCTGGCTGGAAAGCTCCACACTTCCTGTCCCTTACAGGGAGGTGAAAAAACAAATGAAAGGAAAAGAAAAGGGGACGAATGAGAAATTAAGGAAGAAGAGGAGAGGCAAGAAAGGAGAGAGAGAAGAAAGAAGGTCAGCACAACTTTTAAATGGGGTGGCCCTTGAAGGTAGAGGATTAAAAGAATATTGACTTCCTTGACTCCTTCAGTCCTTAAGGTCTCAGCAGTACCTAGAGGATGGCTTATCTCGTGGTTAGAATATTCCAGAAAAAGACACTAGTGGAAGGATTTTATGGCTTTAGCCTGTGAGTAAAAGGAATTCTGCTATCAGTTTTCTATCCAGCACTATTTCTAACCTCTTACTCAATAACTTGTTACCTTAGTCATTAATTTATCATGTGTAACATGGCTTTTTGCCTGAAGAAAAATACAAGAGTACTACATCATTGAATTTCTATCATCTATTATAGGTGTAATATTTTCGAATAATTTCAGAAGGCTGGTTAAACATGACCTCCCTTAACTGAGGCAGCAGTGAGTGTTTGTCATAAAATTGTTCTTACCATGAAGAATTTCCACAGCGGCAGTTTAGTAGCTTCCATTCTTTTTCCTACTCCTCTAGTTATATTTACTCATCATATTTTAAAATAAAATTCTAATTGGCAGAGACTGATGAAGAAAAAGATGAAAAATATAAAAGACACAAGATGTTGACAATATTTCTAATCATTTCTTACACTGAATTAAAAACACACAGAGGAAACGGCATACAATATAAATGCGCAGCTAAAAATTTATTAGATAGTTAACACCCCTATAACCACTTTCAAGGCCAAGATGTGAAATAATATGAGCACCCTCCAAACACATTCAAATCACAAACTGCTCCTTTTCTTCTAAAGGCAATCACTATCCTCAATGTAAAGGTAATAACCGCTCACTTTCTTTGTAGTATTACTACCTAAAGAATGATAACTCAATGGAATCATTCAGTTTTGTCTATTTTTGAGCATTATATAAATGGAATAATACATTATACATAAATGTGGGTCTGGATTCTCTTGCTCAATACTATACTTGTGAGATCAATTGAAATTAGTGTGTGTAGTTGTAGTTCCATTTTCTTGTGATTGTTGTAAAGCATTTCAGTTGATCAATATACCCACAATGTATACACCTGCTTTCCTGTTAATGGACATTTGGACAGTTTCCAGTTTAGGGCTTTTATGATGAATGCTGTGAATATTCTTAACACATTTCTGAGTTCCCATATAAATACATTCCTGTTGTCTATATACCTACGAGGAAATAGTTGAGATTTTCGTATCTTTAAATTACTAGAAAGTCACACTGCTTTCCAAAGCGATTGCATGAATTTATATTCCCTAAAAAAATAGTGTGAGTTTTTCTACATTCAAACAAACACCTGGAATTTAATTTTATCTTTTTTTGGGCACAGTTTATTGAAGCTTTAATATTCTTTTACTTGATGAGTAATGAAATTGAACAACTTTTTTCAATTGTTTTACTGTACATGCCAATTTCCTCTTTATTCACATTTTTTACCCTTTTTTGTGTTTATATTTTTCTTATTGATTTGTAATTCTTTAGATTTTCTGATTATGTGTCTTTTATTTATAATTTTCAAATATGGTTTTAGACTTTAACTTTTTTATGATCAAATCTTTATCACCAAAACTTACATTTAAAATTTATGATCAGGCCAAGTACAGTGACTCACATCTGTAATCCAGCACTTCGGGAGGCTGAGGTGGGTGGACCACTTGAGGTCAGGAGTTCAAGACCAGCTTGGGCAACATGGTAAAACTCCATCTCTACTAGAAATAGAAAAGATTAGCCAGGTGTGGTGGTAGGTGTCTGTAGTCCCAGCTACTCAGGAGGCTGAGGCAGGAGAATCACTTGAACCCAAGAGGCAGAGGTTGCAGTGAATTGAGTTCATGCCATTCCACTCTAGCCTGGGCAACAAGAGTGAAAGTCTATCTCAATAATAATAATAATAATAAAATAAAAATAAATAATAAAAATAAAAATAAACTTAATGATCAGTGCTTTTTGTGTTCTGTTGAAAATTTTTTGCTCAACATCTGGGGACGCTCTTCGTTCTCAGCGCCCAGCCCAGCTTCCTTCAAAATGTATACTATTCACGAAATCCTGTGCAAGCTCAGCTTGGAGGGTGATCACTCCCTCCAAGTGCACTGGATCAGTCAAAACCTCCACCAGCTTTGATGCTGTGTGGGATGCCTTGAACATTGAAAGAACCATCAAGACCGAAGGTGTGGATGACGTCACCATTGTCAACATCTTGACCAACAGGAGGAATGCTCAGAGACAGGATAGTGCTTTTGCCTGGCAGAGAAGGACCAAAAAGGAACTTGCATCAGCACTGAAGTCAGCCTTATCTGGCCACCTGGAGATGGTGATATGGGGCTTATTGAACACACCTGCTCAGTATGATGATGCTGAGCTAAAGCTTCCATGAAGGGGCTGGGAACCGACGAGGACTCCCTTGTTGAGATCATCTGCTCAACAACCAACCAGGAGCTCCAGGAAATTAACAGAGTTTACAAGGAAATGTACAAAACTGATCTGGAGAAGGACATTATTTTGGACAATATGGTGACTTCTGCAAGCTGATGGTTGCCCTGGCAAAGGTTAGAAGAGCAGAGGATGGCTCTGTCATTGATTATGAACTGATTGACCAAGATGCCCGGGATTTCTGTGACGCTGGAGTGAAGAGGAAAGGAACTGATGTTCCCAAGTGGATCAGTATCATGACCAAGCAGACCGTGTCCCACCTCCAGAAATTATTTGATAGGTACAAGAGCTACAGCCCATGAAGAGAGAGCGTCTAGAAAGAGGTTACAGGAGACCTGGAAAATGCTTTCATGAACCTGGTCCAGTGCATTCAGAATAAGCCCCTGTATTTTGCTGATTGAGTGTACTACTCCATGAAGGGCAAGGGGATTCGAGATAAGGTCCTGATCAGAATCATGGTCTCCCGCAGTGAAGTGGACATGTTGAAAATTAGGCCTGAATTCAAGAGAAAGTATGGCAAGTCCCTGTACTATTACATTCAGCAAGATACTAAGGGCGACTACTCAGAAACCACTGCTGTACCTGTGCGATGGAGATGACTGAAGCGCAACATAGCTTGAGCTTCCAGAAATGGTGCTCCCCATACTTCCAGCTAACAGGTCTAGAAAACCAGCTTGCGACTAACAGTGCCTGTGGCCGTCCCTGTGAGGATGATGTTAGCATTGTCCCCAACCTCATTTTAGTTGCCTAAGCATAGCCTGGCTTTCCTGTCTAGTCTCTCCTGTAAGCCAAAGAAATGAACATTCCAGGGAATTGGAAGTGAAGTCTATGGTGTGAAACACTTTGCCTCCTGTGTACTGTGTCAGAAACAGATGAATAAACTGAATTTGTACTTTAGAAACAAAAAAAGGAAATTGTTTATATACCTTGAAGTTATGAATATCTTTATATATATTAATTTTTGGATCCTTTAGTATTTTGCTTTTTGTATTTTATTCTATATTGACATGACTTCACATTTGAGTCTTTTTTTCCCCAAATAAGCGTATCTAATTTTCTCATTACCATTTACTAAAACGATTTTATGTATACGAAATATTGTAACTTTATATTACAAAATTGTATCTGTAGAACAAGTCATGCCACATTGTTATTCTTCAAGGAAACCTTGACAAATTCTATCCTCTCAATGTTCAAAAATAAATAAACTTGGCTAGGATTTACAAATCCGTTATAATTTTAAACTATAATCAATATGGGTAAAATTATCATTGTTACAAATGAATCTTACAATCCTGATCATAACATAATACTTTATTAATTTAGATTTTTAAAAATTTTTCTAGTGATATGTTATAATTTGTCCAAATAAGTTGTATGTTTGTTTATTTGTAGATCTTTTATATTTTAATAACATTTAAATTGCATTTTAATATGTAATTGTTAATTGTTACTTATTGCAATAGACTAATACAATATATGTCTGTCTGTTTACTCTTGTTCATTACCTTACAAAAACTTACACAAATTTGAAAATTACCTAAGTGTTCTTTTGAATTTTATGTACAATCATATTATTTTACAAAAGTGAAATTTTATTTATTCCTTTAAAATATGCATATCTATTTATTCTGCTGACTTACTTCACTAACTAGAACCTCCAGCATCATATAGAATACATAATACTGAAAAAGTGGCAGGGCACTGAAGGTCCACCTCTGTCAGCACAGGCCCCTAGAACTGTAAGGTTGCATTAGCACCAATTTATGTGTTGTTGCATTTCTCCACTTAACTGTAAATTCCATTTGGAACAGCAAATGGAAATATGTGACTGAACCCAGGTTGAGGATTTACAGAAAAGAGCTGATGAATTAAGAATTCTGGCAAGGGAGTCATTTGGGTGGTCATTCATGGAATGCTGGCTCCACAGGAAAGTAAGTGTCCTCTTTCTAAAGAACATCAGCTGACTCCAAGTAAAAGAAGACTCAGAGGATGTCTTGATGGTGATGAATGGCTTGTTGTTAGTTTTAGAGTAAGAAATTTTGAAGAAGATGGGTTTTGTTCTGAAGGAATGTTATTGAAGTACACTAGGTTTAAGAAGTAGAAGACTTCTGAATAATTTATGGTTAATAGAAAATATTTTGAATTTTAATGAGTCAAGTTCTAGTTCCTTACATACAATTAAGGAATTGAGTTCATAATGATTTTAGAATCCAATCTTCATTATTAAGGCAAATAATAACTTTGCTTCTGACTAAGAAAGAATAGCTTGCTGTAGTCCAATGTTTCTACAAGTGGAAAAGCCAAATAACATTTACAACAAAGCAGAACAAAAGAAAAGTTATTTCAAGGCAATACAAAAGTAATACAGCAATAATATGAGAAAGCAAGATTCCAGAGTCGTATATCTTGGAAAGATGAACTAATAGCTAGTTACATTTCTTCATGGAACATGCAAATGCTCATTACGAGGTAATGGACTATGATTCCAGGCACAGAGCTTACCTGGAGGGTCACAAAGGTACATAGGAGGCAGGAAAACTAAAAGACTAAGAAGTTGGGTTCATGGAAAGAAGGTAGGAGCAGAGAACAGAGCTGATGCCGTTCTGGTTGCTATTACTGCATGATAAAAATCCTCAAAATGTAACACCACCAAACAATGAACCCTTTTATTTTGCTCATGATGTTACATGTTTGGAATTCCAGAAAGCTTTAGCTGGGCAGCGTGAAATATCTCACGTGGTTGTAGTCAGTTGTCAACTGGGACAGTCATCTGATATTTGGAGTTAAATATGCGTCTAATATGGCTCATTCTCATGGCCTTTAATGCTAGGGCTCACCAAGGAATTCAGCTTAACCTGGTGACCAACGAGACTACACAAGTCCTCTCCATCATAGCAGCCTCTTGGCATTCTGATATTTTACATGATGGCTGGCTTCCCAGGAGAACCAAACTAAAGTTCTCCAATATGTCACAAAAGTCAGTAAGTGCCTGGAAGGTAAAAGCTTTTTTTTTTTTTTTTTAAATAAGACTCCTAATCCTCTATTACCTTTTTCCAAGTCTTCAGCCCCTGTTTCAAATTGTTTTTGACATTCTTGTACACACACCAATAATAATGATAATGACAATAATACTATTAGTAGTAGTAATAATAATAGCTAAAACAGATAGGAAGACATGATTTAGGTGCTATTATGAGCACTTTACTATATTAACTTCCTTAATCCTCGCCACAGTCCTATTAGGTAGGAATGATTGTTATCCCTCTTTCACAGTTGAGGAAACTGAGTCACACAGATGTTAAGCAACTTTCCAAAATTCACAAAGCTAGTATCTTGCAAAGTCTGGATTTGAATCCAAGCAGTCTGACTGGAGACTCCACGCTCTTTAACATTATGCTCTACTCATACACACTTTGGACTCATTAGGTCGGTTTGAAAACCAGATGCTGATAGGCATTAGGATCTAGACAGAGGGGATATTATTTTGCTTGATTTTCAAATAGTAGTCTGATGACGAACTATTTAAATGATTTTTAGGGATCTTACTGAGAATAAAGAATGGAGTCAGGCTTGAAACACGGGTTTTCATAAAAGGACTAGAGCACTCTGAATGAAATTCCAAGTCTAGAAAAATTATTTCATGCTACTAAGACAAGTTAGGTGACTTTGGAAACTTTACTCTAAAATGCTATTGAGGGGATAAATGTATCCCTGTCCTAACCTCACACCCATGTGCGCTTCCCCTACCAGCCAAAAAAAGCTGAAACTCCTTCAAGTTATTTGGGTCATAAAAGCAAGTTTGTTTTTTGTTTCTCTTTTTATCTTCATCTTGAATCATCTTTTCTTGCTATATGCTTGTGATACAAATTATAAATTAAATTGTAAATTTAAATTATAAGTTATAATCTTGAGAAAGGTTAACTGACTTGTTAGAAAGGCATGGAAGCTGAGATACTGTCCCCTTGCGCTTGTTCATACAGCAACAATGGTCAGCTGGAGAGCGCCCCATGTATCCCAGCCTTTCTCTCTCTCTCAGGTAGTGGTGATGAATTTGAACTATCATTTCTATACTGAGGTAAAAGCTATCTGCTTATTACAGCAGTGAGAGGAGCCCCATGGGTGCAGTGAATGGCACTTACATCATACATTTTCCTTGGCTATAGCAGAGCTTGTTCAGAGCAGATGCTCTTGGTACATGTAGCATGACTGATAGTTTTATGCTCAGCCTTTATAGGTCCACAAAATCATATAAATACATAATTCTATTAACTGCCAGGACTCCCTTGGACATTACTGAGTGTGTTTCTGTGGGTCTTTACAAATTCTTCCATGACTATTTAATAATCTATATATACTGGAATAACTTAGGAAAAAGGTAAATAACCCTAATTTGCTTTTTGTAGTTTGATTTATTTTCATCCTCCTCTTCTTCCTTCTTTCCCCATCCTTCTTTTTCTATAATTTGCTAACATTGAAACATAATACATAAAGGTAGTACCACATCTTTAGAACATGAAGCAAGGAAGTGAAGATACCTTTGCTGATCAAAAACTAATTATAACATAAATGGTTAAGGAATAGAACTAAAGAAAAATATTCAAACAATGAGGGTCTTAAAATAGAAACAAAAAGCTCGCTTTGTAGACTTCAGCATTTTATGGTTGTTACACAGCTTACAGGTAAAATTAATTTTCTGGAACGTTGCTTATTAACATTTTTATTGTTTGCCATATTTTAAAATAATATTGTTATGTACCATTGGATAAAACTAATAGTGCATTAAAATGGTCTCACCTTAAATCAGAGACAGTTTGCTGTAACTAGAATTTTCAATTCTCTAATGACTTTTTTCTCTGCTATGAAAAGAAAAAGTTTCTATATTAAAAAGATGTACAGGGGCAAAAGGAAATTTACGATCTAAACTTGCTGCAAATCATTTGTATTGATCTGTTTTGTTTCCATTCTGCTGAAGCTAATGGAAATCATTTGTCACCTGACTTGTCCCAGCTGATTTGAAAAAAAACGCTGGACCATTTATCAGGCCAGCTGAAGGTCTGATACAAGGGTGCTTATGTCTGCAGTCGCCAAGATACATTCAGTTTCTAGGCAAGTAGTGAATATTAAGCTATATTGGTCATAGGCTTAAACAAATAAATTAAATATGAATGCATACATAATACATTATAATAAAACACTAAATAGGAAACTTATATTAGCCAGTAGAATACTCTACTTACAAGTAAGATTTTAACCACTTTTATTTTGCAAGAGCTAAAATTAAAATATAATTATTTAATATTAACTATGGTAATAGTATATACTGGAAATAAAAGTAAAAACATCATTACAACGCATTAAAGTCAATAAACAGGCTTTTCTGACACATGCATTCTTCTGAGGTAGACTTTTCTCTTTGAAGAATATTTTTGGTGAGTCAAACATTTAATCCATGTAATTTCATAAATGATAATTTATTTTAAATTCACTTACATAAAAAAGGTGTGTTTCTCTGCTTCTGTGTATGTAAGCGATTTTAAAGAGTTGATCTTGAGAAGTCAATTATGTTCTGTGTAATTTTCAAATTCTCATAAACACACTAC